TAACAGTATATTCGTAATGACCGGATCTAGTGTTGAATGCAGTCTTCCATTCGTGATTTTCCTTTATACGTATCAAATTGTATGCACTCCTAAGGTCCAATTTAGTGAACACAGTGGCATGTTTCAGCCTGTCAAATAATTCTGTAATCAAAGGTATAGGGTATGCATTTTTGATAGTGATTTTGTTTAGACCCCTATAATCTATACACGGTCTTAAATCACCTTCTTTCTTCGATACAAAGAAGAACCCTGCTCCAGCTGGAGAAGAGGATCTCCTAATAAACCCTTTTTCTAGTGATTCCTTGATGTACTCCTCCATGACACGGTTTTCTTGAACCGATAATGGGTACACCCTGCCCTTTGGAGGTATAGTGCCAGGCAACAAGTCAATAGCGCAATCATAGGGTCTGTGAGGCGGTAATTTCTCAGCCTCCCTTTTATCGAAAACAGTCTTTAGAGATAAATACTGAGGGGGTATAACTATAGACAAAGGAGGACTGGTAGGTACCTCAATAGAATTCAAAGGTGTGACTTCCAACGTACAAGACTCGTGGCAGGCCTTACTCCATGATTTTATTTGCCCTGTCTCCCAGTCAAAAATGGGATTGTGAGCACGTAACCATGGATACCCTAATACTAACTGTGAAGAGGGAGAGGTGATAACCTGGAATCGAATGGTTTCATAGTGTAAAACCCCTGTGTACATGTGTAATGGTTCAGTCTCATGAGTAACAACTGGAGAACTTAATGGTCTACCATCTATGGCCTCAACGGCCAAGGGTATCTCCTTCTCTCTGATGGGAATGTTGTTTCTCTTTATAAAGCCAGAGTCTATAAAATTTTCAGCTGCCCCAGAGTCAACCAGAACATATATGTTGTCAACTATACAAATCTCTCCCATATATAAAGAAACCGGGAGAAGCAAGCGGTTAGGAGGCAATTTAGGAGACTTAGATATCACACCCAAGGCCAGTCCCCTATAAGGTCTTAGGTGCGAGAGTTTTCCGGGAGTAAAGGACATTCCCTTACCATATGGTCTCTCCTACCACAGTATAGGCAGAGTCCCTCCCTTCTCCTATGTAATTTCTCAGTATCAGAGAGTTTGGCAACCCCTAATTGCATAGGTTCCTCCTCAGACACTTTAACACTCTCTGGTATATTAACTCTGGGGTTAATGGGTGTAACAAAACGCCTATTCCTGTTCTTGGTATAGAGCCTGTCACGAATTCTATTATCAATATCAATGAGGTAATCGATAAGGTCCTCTAAGGCAATAGGAAGCTCCTTAGCTGCTACCTCATCCAATATCGTATCTGACAAACCTTCCATAAAGGCAGTAGTTAACCCATTGTTGGTCCAATCTACCTGCTAAGCAAGAGTGCGAAACTGAATAGCATAATCAGCCACAGACCTAGAACCCTGTTTAATTCTCATTAATGCTCTCGCGGCATTCTTTGACCTTTTCATTGTGTCAAAAGTTCTACGAAAAGCCGTAAGAAAACTGTTGAAATCATGTACCATAGGCCCATTAGCTTCCCAAATAGGATTTGCCCACTCAAGTGCCTTATCGGTAAGTTGGTGCATAAAGAACCCAACCTTAGACCTCTCTGTGGGAAATGAACGTGGATACATTTCGAAGTGAAATTCAATCTGATTAATAAACCCTCTGCAAGTCTTAGAGTCCCCTCCATACCTAGGAGGTGGTGTTAAATGGGCCGAAGTATTAGGCAAAGTAGATACTTCAGGGAGAAGGGGCGTAGGAGGGTTAGGTGTAGTTGCTGGAACGGTTCTAGCTAGGAGCGTCTGGAGAGCCTGAGCTATTTGATCCATACGGTGATCCTGCTCTACAAATCTTGCCTCATGGGACGCCATCTGTTGAGCTAAATCTGCGGGGTCCATGGCCCTATCGTAATGTAACGAGAATATACCCCTACACGCAGGATCCAGCTAAACAGAGGCAAATACAGAGGAGAGATACGTCTACCGGACCTTAGAATGGCCGGACTCGACGTATATGAGAGAAGACAGAGCCAGGAACAAACCGAGGTCAAGGGCACAGAGAGACAGCGTAAACTAGGACAAGCCGGGGTCTGGTACACGGAAAACAGCAAGCCGGCAAACAGTACAGATAAGGATAAAGCGAAAACGAAGTCAGAATACGAAGCCAAAGTCAATACGAGAAAACACAACTGAACACCACAAGCGCTAAAGGGAACTGAAACAGAAACCACGATAGGGCAAGGAACAAAGGGAAGAAGGTGAGTATAAATACCTAAACATCTAATTTGATTGGTCCCTGTCACATCCACGCCCCCAAAAGGTAAGTGTATGGGGAGTGTGGCATGACAGGGACCAATGGGATGCCTTTTCCAATTTAGGCACCCACTGTCCCTTTAAGAGCGCGCCCGAGACTCGCGGCGCGCTCTTAGTTTCAGGCGGGACACGTGACCGCCTCACGCGGTCACTGCCCGCCTTCCATCCGAAGTAGTTGGATGAGCCGCGCGCGGCTCGTGCAGCCGCAGGACCGCGCGCGGCTTGAAGAGAGGACCGCGACCGGCCCCCGGTTAAGGTAAGTAACGCTACATATACATACATACACACACACACACACACACATATATATATATACATACATACATGGATACACACAGACATACTGACATACACACACAGACATACATGCATACTGACATACATACTGATAGATATATACATACATACACACATACATACTGACATACACACACACACATACATACAGACAAATATATACATACTGACATACACACATAAATACAGATAGACACATACACACATACATACAGACATACTGACATACACACAAACAGACATACATGCATACTGGCATACATACTTGCAGACACACACAGACATACATACATACTGATAAACAGACATACATACAGACATACACACATACATACTGACATACACACACAGACATACATGCATACTGACATACATACACACAGACATACACACAGACATACATACTGACGTACACACACACAGACATACATGCATACTGACATACATACTGATAGATATATACATACATACACACATACATACTGACATACACACACACACACACAGACATACATACATACAGACATATATACATACGACATACACACACACACATACAGATAGACACATACACACATACATACAGACTTACTGACATACACACACACACACAGACATACATGCATACTGACATACATACATACTTGCAGACACACATACAGACATACATACTTGCAGACACACACAGACATACATACTGACAAACAGACATACATACAGACATACATACTGACATATACACACACACATACACACATACATACAGACATACTGACCTACACACACAGACATACATGCATACTGACATACATACACAAATACATACACACACACACACAGACATACACACACACAGACACACATACATACATACATACATACATACATTACGGTTGTCACCCCCTGATGGCGGCCCAGGATGTGAGAATAGGAAGGAGCAGAATGGGAGGACTCCTTATATATTTGAAAAGGCAATGCTGAAAATGGAGGGACGTGGGGAGAAAGGATGCACATTTTGTGCTTAAGACAGATGTATTTTTTGCACAGAATTGATATTA